CAGAAAATGGTTTCAGTGTAAAGCTGCACTGCTGAATATATTGTTCTTACCGCTACAACAATTTTTTTTCAGGCATTAAAAACCTATTGATCTTCCTTAAGTTAATTTAATTTAGAAATAAATAATGACACACTTCAGAACATTTTAGGACACATTACCTGTTTTCAGGAGAAAAGATTAAAATTAGTTTCCTGAAACTGTTTATTTTTTTACAGGATGTAAAAGAAATAGATTTGTTATACTTTTTTTATTATTATTACTGATTAATACTGTATGAAATCACAAACACTTAAAAAAATGGCGGCGCCCCTGGCGGCAGCGGCTGGCATACAGCTCCGACCAACTTGCGGAGATTTTCATAAAAATATACCGCCAAACCCGCTGCAAACTGCTTATCTACCTAGCAGATCATCACTGGACCGCCAGCGCCTGCTGGAGTTACGATCATGCAGTGTATTTGGACTTGTAACCACCACTACGCTCGACTGTTTACGTGACTCCGGAGTGCTCCGGGATCAAGCCCCGGAGGCCTGCGATGCAGCGGACCCGTCGAGCGGCTCACGCTGGAGGAGAGCCAAGCGAAAGCGGTGCAGCCGGCCGAGGAAACGCGGCTGTCGCGGAGGTTTAGCAGCCAAGCTAAAGGCTAACCCCCACAGACCATCGCTTCCATCCATCCTGCTCTCCAACGTACGTTCACTGGATAACAAAACTGACCATCTTCAACTCGAGCTCTCAGCAAAGAGGGAGTTTAGGGACTGTTGCGCTCTCATTCTGACAGAGACGTGGCTCACATCATCAACCCCGGACAACGCCATTAGCCTGGAGGGGCTAGCTACTTTCCGCGCCGACAGAAACAAAGAACTCAGCGGTAAGAGCCGAGGAGGCGGACTCTGTGTTTACATCAATAACAACTGGTGTAAAAATGCTAGAATAGTCTCAAGTTTTTGCTCTCCGGACATAGAGCTTCTGACTGTTAGCTGCAGACCCTTTTACCTGCCCAGAGAGTTCACTGTTGTTACCATCACAGCGGTGTATGTCCCCCCCAGCGCTGATACAAAGGAGGCCATGAGTGTTCTCTATCGGACTGTCTCTGAGCTGCAATCTACACACACAGAGGGCGTTTTCATCATTGCTGGAGATTTTAATCAGGCGAATATGAAAACTGTTCTCCCTCATTTTTATCAACACGTGGATTTTGCTACTCGTGGAGAGAACACTCTGGACTTAGTTTATACAAACATAAAAGACGCATTCAGAGCAGCCCCCCGCCCCCACATCGGCTCCTCAGACCACCTTTCTGTGATGCTAATTCCTGCATACAGACCCCTGCTGATCAGAGCAAAACCTACAGTGAAGCAGGTGAGGGTCTGGACGGAGGGGGCCATGGATGCACTCCAGGACTGCTTTGAATGCTCTGAATGGGACATGTTCAAATCAGCAGCAACATATGACAACAAGATCAATGTTGATGAGTACGCCATGACTGTTTCAGCCTACATCAACCACTGCATCGAGGACGTCAGCACAACAAAGACCATCACCACCCGAGCCAACCAACGGCCCTGGATGACTGAGGAGGTCCGCCACGCGCTAAAAGCACGGAACTCAGCCTTCAAGTCTGGTGACAAGGAGGCACTGAGGACAGCTAGAGCCACCCTGAACCGTGCCATCAGGTTAGCAAAGCGGAACCATAACCAGAAAATCCAGCATCTGTTCCACGACGCCAACAACACCAGGAGCATGTGGCAAGGCATACGGGCGATCACAGACTACAACACGCCCCCTGCCCCGGTGGATGAAGTTGATGCTGACTTCCTAAACGGACTAAATAACTTCTTTGGGAGGTTTGAGGCACTAAATCGCACTCCAGCAGTGAAGGCTGTCCCACATCAGGAAGAGGAGGTTCTCTGCCTTGACACAGCCGACGTGTGGAAGACTCTGAGGAGGGTCAACCCGCGGAAGGCCCCAGGTCCCGACAACATACCTGGGCGGGTGCTCAAGGAGTGTGCAGGTCAGCTAGCTGGTGTCCTCACGGACATTTTTAACACCTCGCTGGAGCAAGCCACAGTGCCAGCATGCTTCAAGTCTGCCTCCATCATCCCAGTGCCAAAGAAACCTCAAGTCACCTGCTACAACGACTACCGGCCCGTCGCACTGACTCCCATCATGATGAAGTGCTTTGAAAGGCTGGTAAAGGAACACATCGTCTCCAGTCTCCCCCCAACACTCGACCCGTTCCAGTTTGCCTACCGGCGAAACCGCTCCACTGAGGACGCCATCTCCTCTGCTCTTCACCTGAGCCTGGCCCACCTGGAGGAGAAGAACACCCACGTGCGGATGCTGTTCCTGGACTTCAGTTCAGCGTTTAACACCATCATCCCACAGCACCTGGTGGGAAAGCTGGAACATCTGGGCTTCAACACACCCCTTCGAAACTGGCTGCTGGACTTCCTCACCAACAGACCTCAGTCAGTCCGGGTCGGTCAGAACACCTCTGATGTCATCACCCTCAGCACGGGCTCCCCTCAGGGCTGCGTCCTGAGCCCCCTGCTGTTCACCCTGATGACATATGACTGCGTCCCCAGGTTCACCACCAATCACATCGTGAAGTTTGCGGACGACACCACGGTGGTGGGCCTCATCAGGGACGACAACGACCGGGACTACAGAGAGGAGGTGGAGCAGCTGGTGGACTGGTGCAGTGAAAACAGTCTGATCCTGAACGTGGAGAAGACGAAGGAGATCATCGTCGACTTCAGGAAAAACCGCCCCCACCATGCTCCACTGCTCATCAACAGCTCAGCTGTGGAGGTGGTCAGCAGCACAAAGTTCCTGGGGGTGCACATCACGGACAACCTCACCTGGACTGTAAACACTTCATCTCTAGTGAAGAGGGCACAGAAGCGCTTGTACTTTCTGCGGAGGATGAGGAGAGCCCGCCTGCCCCCGCCCATCCTCACAACCTTCTACAGAAGCACCATAGAGAGCGTTCTGACCAGCTGTCTCTCTCTGTGGTGTGGAGGCTGCAGAGCTTCTGACTGGAAGAATGTGAGGAGGGTGGTGAGGACAGCGGAAGGAATCATTGGGGCTCCTCTTCCCTCCATTAAGGACATTTCATCACAGCGCTGTGTGTCCCGAGCCCGTAATATCATCAAAGACCCCTCACACCCCCACCATGGACTGTTCTCCCTGCTGCCCTCTGGAAAGAGGTTCCGCAGCATCCGCTGCAGATCCACCAGGTTGTGCAACAGCTTCTTCCCCACTGCCATCAGACTGTTGAACCTTTGATCCACAATCCGAACTCTGCACCTATTGCACATTATCGGGCATCAAATGCTGCTGAACTTTTAACTTTTAGCCCTTTAAATTGTTCATCTCATTGTATTTTTCAATAACGCATTTTTTGCACAAATGCCATTTTGCACTGAACCACTGCAACTTGCACACTGTCTCTTATCCTCTGCACTGTTCACACTTTGACCACTGCTGCACTTTTTGTATTTTTCTATAACTCGTGCCATTGTGAAATATCAATGCAACGTTCATAAGCTGTATGTAACGCAATTTCGTTCTGTATGCACCCTGTGCATACAAAATGACAAATAAAGAAGTCTAAGAAGTCTAAGTCTAATTGGAATAAAAAAAAAAAAAAAAGATTTTGAGGACTGACTGGCCACTTAAAGAAAAAAGTTAATTGATTTTTTTTTTATTTTATTTCAGTATAGTATGGGAAAAAAGTCAGAATTCTGAGAAAAAAAGTCAGAATTCTGAGAAAAAAAGTCAGAATTCTGAGATTAAAGTCAGAATTCTGAGATTAAAGTCAGAATTTTGAGATTAAAGTCAGAATTCTGAGATTAAAGTCAGAATTCTGAGATTAAAGTCAGAATTTTGAGAAAAAAAGTCAGAATTTTGAGAAAAAGTCAGAATTTTCAGAAAAAAGTCAGAATTCTGAGAAAAAAAGTCAGAATTCTGAGATTAAAGTCAGAATTTAGAGAAAAAAGTCAGAATTCTGAGAAAAAAAGTCAGAATTCTGAGATTAAAGTCAGAATTTTGAGAAAAAAAGACAGAATTCTGACTTTTTTCCCATACTAATTGAAATACAATTTAAAAATCAGTTAAATTTTTTTTTTCCACTGGCCCTAATCCTCTTCCGTAGATTATGGATCCAGGCAGGTATATGGAGATACATTAGTAGAGATTCAAAATTTCCCCACTTTCTTTGATGGGCCCTTGGCTGGTTCCCTACAATTCCTTTTTAAACATCAATCTTTGTACTAAAATATTATTTCTGTCATGATTTGTGGACATTAAGATCTAAAGAGAAGCATCATCTCCTGGTCAGACCCTGTAATTCAGTAAAAGGGTGGAATCAGAGTAAAAAATATGCACGCCCAGGAGAAGGAGGGGGTCACTCCAGTGGCTGGAAGAAGGAGGGGTCTTTGCTGGGAGTTGCAGGGAATCTGCTGACTGGGAAGGAGCATTTTGAACGGCTGCTACTGTACCTCCTGCTGCCTGAATCCTCATTTAGCACCGTTTAACATCCTGCGGGACATGATATGGCTGGAAGCCAAAGATGGAGAATGTGACAAAGTTACCGATGTACTCTACAAAGTGTTTGTCACTAATTACTTCTACTCTGCCCTCTGACAGTTGTCTTTATATGCCATCATTCTGAGCAAGCTTTGTTTTGTTGCTGCCAGAGGGACTTTCTAATGTGTTGGGAGCCATATTGTTGAGTGGTGTTGCTCTGAGTAAAGAGGCGATTGATACACTATTGTATTTGACAGGCCAACTCTTCAGGGAGATCAGAAAAAAAGAGATGGAGAAGAAAAGAAAGAAAGTAGGAAGCCACAGATTCTGTGGACTGAGGGAAAATCCAGTAAAGTACAACAAATAAGAGAGCAACTGTGTAAACTCCATTCATCTCACACAAACTTTACCGCATTCCCAGATGTCTAAACCCTGCATGGTTTGCACGCACACGTCCGACAAAGACCAACCTTGCCAACCAGGTTTGCAGACTGGCTTGACGTCGATGAGCACCGGAACGCTGTGCAAGGCTCTTTTCTGACCGCAGTCCCACGCCGTCACCAGGATCTCGTAGTGCTGCTGTCGGTCAAAACTCAGCTTCTCCGTGTTCCGGATATTACCTGGGAGGACGCGAACATCAAAGGCAAGGTCAACAAAATAACTTATTTCAGCAGCATTAAGAAATCAGGTGGAGGATTTTAAACCAGTGCAAGATAGGAATTTCAAACAGAAGCAGCTGTGGTCATTACAGTCTATTACAAATAGTATTTCATTGTTTAATTCATTATTTATACAAATTTTTATATACACTCACCGGCCACTTTATTAGGTACACCTGTCCAACTGCTCGTTAACACTTAATTTCTAAGCAGCCAATCACATGGCGGCAACTCAGTGCATTTAGTCATGTAGACATGGTCAAGACAATCTCCTGCAGTTCAAAGCGAGCATCAGTATGGGGAAGAAAGGTGATTTGAGTGACTTTGAACGTGGCATGATTGTTGGTGCCAGAAGGGCTGATCTGAGTATTTCAGAAACTGCTGATCTACTGGGATTTTCACGCACAACCATCTCTAGGGTTTACAGAGAATGGTCCGAAAAATAAAAAACATCCAGTGAGCGGCAGTTCTGTGGGCGGAAATGCCTTGTTGATGCCAGAGGTCAGAGGAGAATGGCCAGACTGGTTGGAGCTGATAGAAGGGCAACAGTGACTCATATAACCACCCGTTACAACCAAGGTGGGCAGAAGAGCATCTCTGAACGCACAGTACGTGGAACTTTGAGGCAGATGGGCTACAGCAGCAGAAGACCACACCGGGTGCCACTCCTTTCAGCTAAGAACAGGAAACTGAGGCTACAATTTGCACAAGCTCATCGAAATTGGACAATAGAAGATTGGAAAAACGTTGCCTGGTCTGATGAGTCTCGATTTCTGCTGCGACATTCGGATGGTAGGGTCAGAATTTGGCGTCTACAACATGAAAGCATGGATCCATCCTGCCTTGTATCAACGGTTCAGGCTGGTGGTGGTGGTGTCATGGTGTGGGGAATATTTTCTTGGCACTCTTTGGGCTCCTTGGTACCAATTGAGCATCGTTGCAACGCCACAGCCTACCTGAGTATTGTTGCTGACCATGTCCATCCCTTTATGACCCAAATGTACCCAACTTCTGATGGCTACTTTCAGCAGGATAATGCGCCATGTCATAAAGCTGGAATCATCTCAGACTGGTTTCTTGAACATGACAATGAGTTCACTGTACTCAAATGGCCTCCACAGTCACCAGATCTCAATCCAATAGAGCATCTTTGGGATGTGGTGGAACGGGAGATTCGCATCATGGATGTGCAGCCGACAAATCTGCGGCAACTGTGTGATGCCATCATGTCAATATGGACCAAACTCCCTGAGGAATGCTTCCAGCACCTTGTTGAATCTATGCCACCAAGAATTGAGGCAGTTCTGAAGGCAAAAGGGGGTCCAACCCGTTACTAGCATGGGGTACCTAATAAAGTGGCCGGTGAGTGTATATTAAAAAGATATATGTATATTAATTATTTGACGTAAATAAATACATTTTACATCTACTAATTTCATGCTACATGTATTTCGACCTGAAGAGATTGAAACAGAAAAGTTGCAATTTGAAAAAAATGAATTTATTTATACGGGTAATCTAATAATAATCTTCGAAATAGTTCTATCTAAGGAAAACTAGCTGATTGCGAGGAATTGTTGACTCTCTGCAATTTCTCACACCAAGCATGCTTGTAGCGACAGTGGAGAGGAAAAACCGCAAGAAACCTCCAACAGAACCAGGCTCAGTGTGAGCGGCCATCTGCTGAGGCCCACTGGGGTTCAAGGAGACAGAAGCAGATGAAGACATAAACGAAATAAGTTATTTTGCGCTTGGTTCCCGGCACAATATATCGAAGCTCTGACTCAACATTTGCTTGATTAGTGACCTAGAAAACGATTAGAGTAGTGTTCCCCAGAGCCCAGAAACTGGTGCAGGAATAAGCCAAAGGGTGAGTTGTTAAGAGAGTAGTCTTAGAATGACGGTGGATATCAGGTGAAGGTGGGTGAAAGTTTGTTTGCGTGCGGGAGAGAGAAGCTACGGCAGGAGCTAAGTGAAGTAACCGGACTCCGCCAGATGGATTTGCTCTGCATATCCATCTGGAAACCTTCCGTAGAAGTAATTATGGGAATACTGGTTAGCTGATTGGCCTATGTTGGTGACAACGGGCCAAATAAACCAATCAGAGCATATGACGTACTAACAGAGCGACGACGAAGAGGAGCCAATTGATAGATCAAACTCTTGCCGAAACCAGTCGGGAGAAGAGCAAAAACATCTTTTCCTCTGAGAAAAGCCTCCAGAGCAGTGTTTTGCTCTTCTTTCAGTGAAGAAATACTCTGGAATTCCGATAAAACTTGCTCGATAGCCACGCTAACGCTGTAGTAGCAGTTTTATTGTCTTATATCAGATCAGAATCAGAATGTATCCTACAACATGGCCCTATACTTACTTAGCAACAAAACAGTACATCTTGAAGTTCAAGTATGAGTCTTAGCAATAATAAAGTCTCTAATGCTGTAGAATATAAATATCTGGCTGGCTTGCCAAATATGGAAGCAGTTGTACTGCATTATGTAGTCCTGTTTCTGACCTTATGCCCACTTAGCAACACAGAGAACGCAGCATGTAAACAGGGAGTCTACAAGCTGGGAGTCACGTACAAATCTTGGCAAAAACAGGGTTCTTACTGGCTGACTCGCACGCAATCAGGTCATAAGCTAAGAGATCTCCAGGAGGAGCATCCAGTTGTGCACGTGCATCCACACAGTGCGATGTGGAAACTATAAAAGGCCGCCCACAATGGATTTAAGGTAGGGGAAATTATAGATGTGAGGACATAGCGCTGAATGTATGAAGTGTTTAAGACAGCTGTATAGTTTCATCGGCTGAAGCCGCCATGTTCTTTAGACTGAACTGTGGCGCTTCTCGTTGCGTCACACCTCAACCCGCCTCAAAGCCAACGCTGATTGGACGTTCGTTTGGTGAACGGCTCCAAATTTTCTTCAACGGAGAGTCTCCAGACTGATCTGCGAGTGAAATCTTGAAAGTTCGCGAGATCAGGATGGTCTCACGAGGCTATAAGTGATCACGAGGCTATAAGTGAAGGGGATCTTGCACGATGACTGGCTCCGGAGAAGATGTGCCCTGAGCTGTTTGGCTGGAGCTGAATATGGCAGGTGGTTCAGGTGAAGCTTATAACAGTTTTCCAGATTGAATTAAAGTTGAAGTTTTATTTATTTTTCAAAAGAACATTCAGATTTTTGTATTTCATGATACATGTTTGCCCTCCACACACAGCCAAGATCACGTCCCAGTGATGGTGAAAGCCAACCTTCCACTTGGGTTCTTGCAACACCACTGGGGTCCCGTAGCCTGGGTGCCATTCCGAACTTAGTCCCGCCCACAAAGTTTGAGGTCGGGGAAGTTCGGTCTGGCTCTGCTCCATAGTAGCGCGAGTATTATCGCCCACTGTCAGGCGATCCAATCAAATTGTCAGGGCGGGCTTTATACGATGATGGACAGATGATCAACAGTAACGTAATCAACCACGTGACCAATGCGCGCTTGGGTGACAACAACAATGGCTGCCGCTGGAGAGTTTAGGTGAGTAGATTCTGCTATTAGGTCTGTTCTAGAAGATATCGACAGCAATTTAATTTTAAAAGAGGAACAGAGAAACGCGATCAAGGCTCATCTTCTTATTATAGGCGTGAAACTGCACGCTTTGATTTTTGTGGACAACAACTATGCCTCGCTTAACATACGTCACGCACTCCGTTGCTCTTATTGGTTGTAGGTCTATCCAATTGAGTGCAGAGGCATTTTTTTTCCTGGTTCGTTCGAAACACGCCCCACAATCACAGCTCTATGGAGCAGCATCAGACTCATATTCTGACTAGAATTGAGTAGGACTACGTCAGGCTAGGGGTCCCGACCCCTACTTTTGGAACCCCTGCTTTAGACCATGATGAAGTATAATAAGCAAAGACTACATTAATTGAACTTTATTGATCTCACATTGGAGAAATTTACCTCTGTATTTAACCCGTCCCCTTGGGGAGCAGTAGGCTGCCATCGTGGGGCCCCCGGGGAGCAATGTGGGGTCAAGGGTCTTGCTCAGAGACCTTTACTCATCTGATATAGGGAGAGTCTGTCGAGAGTCGAGCTTTATACCGGTCTATCTGTCCCCGCTTATTTACAAAGACAATGTGCATTTGTTTTTTTTTAAGGAGTAATGGTTATTTAATCTCACACCATCATTATATGTCATTGTCAAATTAGCTTTAATGAGTTAATGTAATCACTGTAACAAATGAGATCACGCTGGAGATGACAGGTAGCTTCTAGCGCTTAAAGGGGTCTGATTAACTCTAATTCTTTCCAGAATTAGGAACATGTTTCCATTAAATACCCGCGGCCTCCTCGTGTAAAGACATTGCTGCTTGTTGGCACCCGGCTCACCCCTCGGCTGTTGCTTTTCTGAAAGCAGTAATTACTCTTCCCCACCAGCATTAACATTAAACCTCTGATTTTATCACCGTCAAACAGAAGTGGGATTGTTGTTGTCGTGGAGATTTTTAGGCGTAGCAGTTTATCTACATGATTCAGGGTGACCACAATTTTCCTAATTCATTAATTTCCATGAGCTTAAGTCATAGCCTATTATGCAGATGGTGAATGTTAGGAATAATGTGGAGCTTTAAAGGAATAGTACACCCAAAACATGATTAGCCTTCATTTTCTACTCACCCCCATGCTGAACACCACTCTGGAGTACTTTTTTGATATCTCAAATGCATCTGGAGATCTGGGAGGCTTCTTGCTGTCTGCTGACAATCAAATAATGGAGGTCTATGGCGCCCGAGGCAGAAAGGTCCATAAAAGTCCACAAAAAACGTGTCAATATTCCTCCATACTGCTCGTCCAATGTATTCCAAGTGTCCTGAGTGGGTAGCGTCCATAATTTACTCGAAACAAAGTCATTTAGAATGTTTTTAGAGCATAAACAGTAGTGTATAGGATTTCCTAAAAGCGCGTTC